TAAAACCCATATCATCAATTGAGAACTGCTCACACTTTTCTCTCTCATTTGTCCCCAAATTCTTTTACACATAGAACACCTATGTCCTCATTCCTCCATTTGTTAGAATTATTGTGATGACCAAAAGGTCATCGCTTGTTTTAAAAATAAATTCTGCGTTCTGAGGCCTTAAAACTCTCTTTCTGTCTCACCTGGATTTGCTTACACAGTCCGGGCGCGTAGCCGGAAAGCCAATATGTGAAAATCTGTAAAAAAAATGATGAATTTTGACTTTAAAATGAATTAAGTTGACTTCGGTCAATATTTTGGATAAACGGACCTGGACCCGTGATTTGACGGTCCCGAAGTGTCCGTAGGAAAAATATGGGATTTGGTCGTATGCCCGGAATCGAATTCCGAGGTCCCAAGCCCGAGAAATGAATTTTTAAAGAAAAATATTTTCTAGAATATTATGAGTTTTTGAAAGTGAAATGTGTTTAAAATTTGATTATATCGGGCCCGTATTATGGTTTCGGAGCCCAGTACAGCTCTTATATGTGGTTTAAGTCGAGTCTGTGAAATTTGGTAAGAAACGGACTTGAAATGACGTGAATCGGACCGTATTTGATAAAATTGGAAAATTTGAGGTTCTTAAGTGATTTCATGATTTTGATGCTAAATTTATAGTTGTTGATGTTATTTTGGTGATTTGAATGCACGAGTAAGTCTGTTGTGTGTTTTTGAGGTAGTGTACATGTTTGGTTTGGAGCCCCGAGGGCTCGGGTGAGTTTCAGATAGGTCTCGGAAGGTTTTTGAACTTAGGAAAACTGTAGAAACTGCTGTCTGCTGGTGTCCAGGTCCTTGTGCTATGCGATCGCATAGGAAGGTTCGCGATCGCATCGTGTAAATTTCAGGGGGTTCTATTTTGTACTATGCAATCGCATAGCTTCTTCCGCGATCGCGTAGAGTTAAGTCTGGGGGGTCACCAGTTATTCTATGCGATTGCATTACTTCTCCCGCTATCGCAATGTGTTAAACCAAGCCTGGGAAGGGGAACCCATTTTCCTCTATGCGATCGCAATCCCTGCTCTGCGATCATGATGCCTAGTCCCCCCTTACAAACTTTTGCCCTTGTTCGCGATCGCAGAGACCAATTTTGCCCAGTCATTTAAACAGCAACAGAACACATACGGGATTAAACCCAAAAATTCATAGCTTCTTCTTCCAAACTCCAAATTGGAAAATTTTTGAGAGAGAACTTCACCACAAATTCATAGGTATGTAATCTTAGACTCATTTTCTTCAATTTCCATTAACAACCATTAGATTTCTAGGCTTAAATCATGTTCTTAAGGGTAGAAAGTTAGGGATTTGGGTAGAGTTAGGGCTTTTTGTATAAATAGAATTTAGACCTCGTTTTGGGGTCGAATTTTGAAACTAATTACATATTCGGGATCGTGGATGAATGAGCGATTGGGTTTTGGTCCGAACTTCGTGTTTTGACCAAGCGGGCTCGGGGTCGATTTTTGACTTTTTTGGAAGAATGATAGAAAATCTATAATTAAGCATTGGAATTGAATTGTTTAGCGTTTATTGATGTTATTAAGTCGATTATGTCTAGATACAATTGATTTGGAGCCAAATTCAAAAGAAAAAGCGGTGTTTGAGGCTTGAGTTAGCCGTGGAAGCTCGAGGTAAGTGTTTGGTCTAACCTTAGCTTGAGAGATTAGGAGTCGAGTCCTATTTGCTATGTGGTATTTGTTGAGTACGACGTATAGGCATGGTGACGAATATCTATACGTTGGTGTCAAGCATGCCCATGAGTCTTATATTGTGATTATTATGACTTCGTCGTATTATTCATGCTTTGGTGATGATTTCTATTGTTGGGCAAAGTTTGTGAAAGTAATAGTGACATTTGAACATTGAGGAGAATTGACTCAAGTTGTATGATGAAATGTGAAGGTATAAGTGGTAATTGAACAATTTAGAACATTGGCTCAAGTTGTGAAGTGAGTTATGAAGTAAAAGTGAGAAAAAGAAGAAACTTATTATGTGGCCTCCCTTGCCGGGATATTGTTGCTTTTAATGTTATCTCCCTTGCTGGGATGTTGATATTTCTTTTGATATTGTTCTCTTACCGGGATTCTTATTGTAATTTCATTTATTCCCTTGCCCTATTGTTTGTGACTGTTGTTTGGGTGAGGAAGAGTGTTAAAGCACGAAGGGTGATGTCGTGCATTGTTTTGGTGAGAGAGTGTTAAAGCATGAAGGGTGATGCTGTGCATGATTTGTGAGGAAGAGTGTAAAGCACGAAGGGTGATGTCGTGCATTGTTTTGGTGAGAGAGTGTTAAAGCATGAAGGGTGATGCTGTGCATGATTTGTGAGGAAGAGTGTAAAGCACGAAGGGTGATGTCATGCCGCACGATGTATAATTCCGTGCCAATTATATTGATTATATGGTAAGGACGAGAGTAAAAGCACAAAGGGTGATGCCGTGCACAATTTCATTACTTGATTGCTTTGGTAAGGACGAGAGTAAAAGCACGAAGGGTGATGCCGTACACTTTTTGATTCCTGATTTCTTTATTGATATCCGAGATATGTTGTTCCTTTTAATTACCCGTTGTCTTTCTATTCTAAATTGATGTTCCCCGCATCATGTCTCCCCTCCCATACTTGACTGTATATTACTGTTCTTCCGTTCCGCTGTATATAGTTAAATTGCACAAGTTTATTTGGTAGTCTGGTCCTAGCCTCATCACTACTTCACCGAGGTTAGGCTAGGCACTTACCAGCACATGGGGTCGATTGTGCTGATACTACACTCTGCACTGTGTGCAAATCCCGGAGCAACAGCTTTTGGACCAAAGCTTCGGTGGCTACCTTCAGTCCACACGGAGATCCAAGGTAGTCATGCAGGCGTCTGCAGGCCCTGGCATCTCCCTCTATCCCTTTATCCTGTTTCATTTACTTATTTCAGAAACAGTGTATCTTTTATCTTTCAGACTTTGTATGTAGTATTCCTAAATCGTCTGTGAAACTGACACCAGTTCTGGGTAGTCGACGCTCAAATAGTTGTATTGGATACATATTTAGATAGTTTATTGTTTTACTTCCGCTTATTGTAAATTCCGCTGTCTACACGTTATTGCTTCATAACTGTTAAAGGATATAAAATGGGTAAAAAGGTGATTTGTTCAAACAATCGACTTGCCTAGCTCACATTAGTAGGTGCCATCATGACTCCCGCAGGCAAAAAATCCGGGTCGTGACAATTATCCGGAACCACTCCCACCCCTCTGTTGTGGGAAATGAGCCCCAAACATCAGGGTGTCACTAAGTCATGAGCATCTAAAACTATAAACTAAGATATATAAACTGTCTAACTGTCTACGAGAAGAAATGACAAAAGGAGTAACAAGGTTCTGCGGATAGCAGCCACCTTGCAATCTCCACAGATAGCCGGCCTGAACTCAACGATCGCCGCGCTCTAACTCACCTGGATCTACACATAAAGTGCATGGTGTAGTATGAGTACAACCACTTCAGTAGTAATAGAAATAACTAAGGAACTGAGCAGTAGTGACGAGCTAAGTAAAACAGTCCAATTATTTATTTTTCCAATTTAAAAATAATGGAATAAACAGGTAAATTTCATAACTCAGTAAATGCCACAAAGAAATTTAACAGATAAATGCAGCAACAACACAAATAAATACAACCTCACAGCAGTGTCACTCCATCACTTATCACTCACACTCGGCATTCAACACTCAATACACTCAACACTCTGCGCTCACTGGGGGTGTGTACAGATTCCATAGGGGATCCCAAAGCCCAAGCGCCAAGCACGGACAACTCACGTGCTATCATATCAATACCTGGATCCGCACGGTCAACTCACGTGCTACGCAGATAACTCACTCACTATTTTATCAATACCTGGACCCGCATGATCAACTCACGTGCTACGCGGACAACTCACGCGCTATGGTATTAATATTCTTACAACCAGGCCCTTGGCCTCACTCAATCATGTACCTCACTAGCCTCATCATCATCAACAAATAAGAGGGCACATCCCACATCAAGTATCACAACATATTACCAAATAATAGAGACTGAGGTAAACATGTACAATAATTTTATGACTAAGTACAAATAATGTGATCATGAATAAAGCCTAAACATGATCTCTAACATGAAGGCAAACAAGTTCAACAACAAGTAACTACGTAAACACAGATAATGGCAATTAGGCCTTAAGCCTCACGGGACGGACCAAGTCTCAATCCCTCGCGGTGCACACCCATACGCCCGTCACCTAGCATGGGTATCACCACCAAACAATTACATGATATCAATTTCTCCGGGTTTATGCCCTCAAAGCCAGAGTTAAAACTATTACTTACCTTAACATTGTGAAATCCTACTCCGGAATGCCCTCGTCTCTGGACTCAGTCTCCAAAAGCTCTGAATCCCAATTTATATGATGAAAATCGCCTCCAAAATCGCTCAAATCCGAGCTCCCCAACTCAAGATATGACCGAATGAACAAACCCTAGTTTTATATATTTTTCTGTCAGCTATTCTGCCTCGTTTCTCATACTAAACGACCCTGAAACTCGCTTTTTATGCCTTTAATAGATTCCTTGTGAAATTCTAGTCAAGTTAGGCTTTTGAACACTCAATTTGACCTTATAATGAATGAGATATGTTGGTTTTAATATTTGCAAATAGTGCAGATTTTTAAATACGCCGTCAGTGGCAATTTTGAAATTAATCTGAAATGACCAAAAAATCCTCATACGATGTCCAAATTCAACGATTCTTTTTGCTACAGGTCCATAATTACAATACGGATCTAATGTTTCAATCAAAAAGAAATTGGAGCTCATATGTTCAATATAATATCATTTATGCTTGAAGAAATGACATCGAAACATAAGAAACACTACTGAAAAATTGGCCTACGGTAATGGTTGAAAAACTGTCAACCACAGACTGGCAAACTGTTGCTGTAGGGATTTTGGAATGGTTTACAGCCCGTTACATCAGTCGGCATACCCATAGGTCTACTGGAACGATTCTTGCAACGGTTTGCATCGTCGTGACAATAGATATGTCTATCGAAACGGTTTTCCCCTTCTCTGTTGGAACAATTATTTTTTTTCAATTGGAACAGTTTAAAACCGTTACTATATGGTTTATACAGTGGTTCTTAACTGTTGTCATATTATTTAAAGCAATACTTATGTAAGCTATTGCTACAGTTATGTTGGATATAGCAACGATTTTTTTAAGCTATCATAACGGTTATATTTGTATTTGGAACGGTTTGTAGATTATTTTGGAACAGCATGATGTCTTATATTCCCATCATTGGGTCATTCATTAGCATGTCATCTCATTGCAGCAGCTGTTTCAGGACACATAAATATCTTCCGAAACCTAGGCTTTAAATGAAAGTACCTTAAAACCTTTGCAAGGATTTTAGAGTTTGCTTTAGTCAAAGGACGAGCACTCTTCCATCTTGAAGACCCACAAATAGAGCAATTATCGGCATTCGCATTTTCTTTCCAAAATAACATGCAATCATTAGGGCGTGCATGTATTTTTTCATAATGAAGACCCAAATTTGTTATCATGTTTCTAACCTTGTTGGGAAATGCCTCTTTTATCAACTCTAACAAATCATAGAAAGCCACATTACTCAACTCATGCAAGGATTTAATCAAGTACAATCGAATAGTGAAACTCAGTTTACTGAAATTTTCACATCCCGGATATAACTCTTGTTTTCCTTCCTCCAGCAATTTGAAAAACTTCTTTGCATCTTCAGATAGTCTTTCCCCAACTCCTTCTTCATCCCTTGCCTGACCCTCTATATTTCTAAATGTATCATGAAGTAGTCCATCAATATCGTCACGCAGGGTAGAACCTTCATCATCATTGCTTGGATGAGGTGTATTTCTCGAGCAAAATCCTTCCCCATGGAAAACCCATTTGATATAACCATCAACAAATCCATGAACAACCAAATGATCCTCCACCACATTTCTATAATACCAATAGCGATTCATGCACTTTTTGCAAGGGCATAATATTTCATTTCTTTGGGCGGCTCGTTCAAATGCCTTATCAAGAAAATCATTCACTCCACGGATATACTCATCCGTCCATCTCAGAAGATTCATCCAACTTTTTATCACCATTATCCATAGATATCCTATACGATAAAAGTAAATCAACAAAATTAACCAAATAAACCAAAAACATGTTAATTTGACATTTCCAACAAAATTTAAAGCTTAAAATGCAACGACCAAAATGAAAGGATGTGAAGCCGTGAAGGTATTGGTCCAAATTAAGTAGAGGCAATTCTATTCAATGAGAGAGCTTGAAGCGAACAAGTAATATAAAAACTTGAGTATATCAAACAGGCTTATCAGCAAGATGCTAAACCGTTTTAAGCATCAGAAAATTGGACTTTACTACAACTTCATCTTTAGTTGAGAGTGCTACTAGTTCATTGTGGCAAATTAAAGGTGCCAAATTTACAGTCAGTTACAAGGATTTAACTAAGAGATGAAGTCCAGAGAAAATTTGACTTACATATCTGTAACTTAATCAGGTCCACAAATCACTTATGAAGAGATGGTCCACAATACAAACATTAAAGTTAGAGAAAAAACATAAAGCATAAATAGTCAAAGCAGTACTATAATCTATTTTTCTTTTCTTTTTTTACTTATTTAATCTATAATCTGTTTAGTAAAGGAAGTTGAAGTTCTATAATTAACATGATTACAAGAGGAGTATTCTAACCAACTGGTTATTCATTAGGATAAACCAAAACTAGAGTCAGGATTGAAAAACAAAACCTGCCGCACATTAAGTGGCTACTGTGAGAGACCTAATGGTGCTAGAATATACTTGCTTTCAGTCACAAACACTTGTGCGCTTCTTTACATTTTGTAACTTGCTTTAACATGAGCTTAGATTTGGTCTTTGTTAACAATACATCTCAGCCATTAAAAAGTCTGGAGAGTAATTAGGCATCCAAAATCCTATTACCGCATAGGAATATCCATAAATTAGGTATTAACCCAGCAATTCTATTACTATTTAGAGATAGAAAATTGAACAAACAAGAAGAAACCCACAAAAAATCCAAAATAATACAATAGTAAATCATTCAAATTTATTCGGATCCAAACCATTTAAATACATTTACTAAATGAAAATGAAGAAATTTTCTAGTGTTTCTACTTTGAAAAGCGGATAGCAGTACTAACCTTTGACAAGAATTTGGCTTTTTCAATAATAACTTTAAGATGAGAAGCCAAAGTCTCTGCCCTTATCGCACCAAATTTGCAGCTTCTCCAACCCTTACTACTACCAAAATTGTTTCACCTACTAATTTTATCAAAAACACAAAGGAAACCAGTGTATCTTACCATAAACTTGTAGAAAAAATTAAGAGTCACCATGAGTATAACCTTTGCAGCTACGAAAAAATTAAGAGACTTCGGCATAGAGTCCAAGCCAGATTCGGTTTCGGTACCAAAAAGGTCGCACCTAAAAAGGCTCCGAAAAAGCAAATCCCGGCCAGACCGTTATGGTACCCAGGAGCTAAGGCATCGAAATATATGGACGGGAGTCTCGTCGGCGACTACTTGCTGAGTCCTCTATTTGCTGAGTCCTTGCAATTATTTTGCTGGAATTAAGAGACCGTCAATCTATTTGTTGAGTCCTTGCAATTTGGGTATCTTCGGATTTGCTTGAGGGAGTATTCTTTGATAGTTTGATAGTTGAGAGAGTATTTTTGAGTGGAAAGAGTTGTTCTTTGTTCGGTGTGCTCTAGGAAATAGTTCATCTGAGTGGGCTCCATCTATTCTGTTATTAGAAATTAAGAAAAAGGTCTAGGGTTTGGTTAAAGGAGGGAAAAAACGAAAATAAAAATAAAATTGGGTAAAGTTAGGAGGGAAATTGAACCGTCTCCATAGACCCATTATGCAAAGAACCATAACCACAGGTTGTCCTACTATTACAGTTACAACAACTGTCGCAGTAGAACAACCTATGACGACAGTTATTTCACTTATGTAACGGTTCACTTGCAAAAATGTGCCGGTTGATTTGATATCCTATTGGAACGGTTATAACCGTTGCTATAATGGTCTTTAGTAAAAGTTATATAACTGTTGCAGAAAATACCGTTGCTATAGGTCCAATTTCTAGTAGTGAAAAATGAGCGCAACACAACCCAAACCTATCCGAAACTCACCCGAGTCCCTCGGGACATCAACTAATAATTTCAATATGTCATATATCACTACCCAAACTTAGTTGAACCTCGAAAACACCCAAAACAACACCAAAAAACCAAATCAACCTCGAATTCAAGCCTAAGAACTTCTAAAGTTCCAACTTTCGCCAATTCAAGCCTAATTCTACCACGGACCTCCAAATTACATTCTGATCATACTCCTAAGTCTAAAATCACCCAACGAAGCTAATCGAATCATAAAAATCCAAATCCAAATTCGTTTACTCATAAGCCACCTTCCAGTTGACTTTTCTAACTTAGTTTTCTAACTAAGAGACTAAGTGTTCTTTTCACTCCAAAACTACTCCGAACCCAAACCTACAAACTCAACACAGCTGAACAATATATAAATAAGCATATATGAGAGAAATGGGGCTATAACTCTCAGAACGAACGATCGGGTCGTTACATCCTCCCCCTCTTAAACAAACGTTCGTCCTCGAACGAGTCTAAAAACATACCTGGAGTCTCAAATAGGTGAAACCTTTATCAATACCTTTTCGTCACATTCAAATCATATGAACTCATCTCGCGGTTACATCATACTCATCACGTATCCATCCAGCCACCATTTATGCTAATAGGGACACTACCGAAAATATAAGTCCAGAAGCACGCGCTTACACAATCAACACCTCAGTGCTCAATCTATAGTCAAAACCCGACCTCAAGTCCTCCAGACTGGCCCAACATCAACCTACAGAAATCACCTCTCACACCTCATCCAGGGAATCACAAGCCGTTGTTGCACAACTGATACCGAGCTCTCATGTGCGTATATGAATGCGTGGAAGGAATTCAAAGAGTTATACTTCAAGATGAATCAATACCGCACGAAAAGAATTCAAGAATGTAAAATTTTCCTAAAGGTTCTGCAGCCTCTTGAAGATAAGTACAGACATCTCTGTACCGATCCGCAAGACTCTACTAAACCCGCTCATGACTCGTGAGACCTATGTAACCGAGGCTCTGATACCAACTTTTCACAAACCAGAATCTAACAATGGTCGTGATGACGCTTATCATGTTACAAGGCAAGCATACTTCCCAAAATATTACTATTGATTGATTTTAAGAATTTAATAAAATATTTCCAATAATTTAATTCCTGATAAACTAAACCAACTCTAAATATAAATAATATAAAATACGGAAATGAGCCCCAAACATCGGGGTGTCACTAAGTCATGAGCGTCTAAAAATATAAACTAAGATATATAAACTGTCTAACTATCCCCAAGAAGAAATGACAAAAGGAGTAACAAGGTCATGCGGACACTAGCAGCTACCTTGCAATCTCCAAAGATAGTCAGCCTGAACTTAACAATCGTCACGCTCTAATTCACCTGGATCTGCACATAAAGTGCAGGGTGTAGTATGAGTACAACCACCTCAGTAGTAACAGAAATAACTAAGGAACTGAGCAGTGGTGACGAGCTAAGTAACACAGTCCAATTATTTATTTTCACAATTTAAAAATAACAGGAATAAACAGGTAAATTCCATAATTCAGAAAATGCCACAAAGAATTTAACAGATAAATACAGCAACAACACAAATAAATACAACCTCACAGCAGTGTCACTCCATCACTCATCACGCGCGCTCGGCATTCAACACTCAATACACTCAACCCTCTACGCTCACTAGGGTGTGTACAGACTCCAGAAGGGCTCCCAAAGCCCAAGAGCTAAGCACGGATAGCTCACGTTCTATCATATCAATACCTGGATCCGCCCGGTCAACTCACGTGTTACGCGAACAACTCACTCGCTATGGTATCAATACCTGGACCCGCACTGTCAACTTACGTGCTACACGGACAATTCACGCGCTATGGTATAAATATTCTTAGTATCAGGTCCTCGGTCTCACTCAATCATGTACCGCACTAGCCTCACCATCATCAACAAATAAGAGGACATAGCCCACATCAAGTATCACAGCATATTAGCAAATAATAGAGATTGAGGTAAATATGTACAATAATTTTTATGACTAAGTACAAATAATGTGAGCATGAATAAAGCCTAAACATGATCTCTAACATGAAGGCAGATAAGTTCAACAACAAGTAACTACGTAAACACAGATAATGGCTATTAGGCCTCAAGCCTCACGGGACGGACAAGGTCTCAATCCCTCACGGTGCACACCCACACACTCATCATCTAGCGTGGGTAGCATCACCAAACAATCACATGATATCAATTTCTCCGGGTTTTTGCCCTCAAAGCTAGAGTTAAAACTGTTACTTACATTAACAACGTGAAGTCCTACTCCGGAATATCCTCGTCTCTGGACTCGGCCTCTAAAAGCTCCGAATCCCAATTCTTATGGTGAAAATAACTTCCAAAATTGCCCAAATTCGAGCTCCCTAACTCAAGATATGACCGAATGAACAAACCCTAGTTTTATATATTTTTCTGCCAGCTATTCTTCCTCGTTTCTCATAACAAACGACCCCGAAACTCGCTTTCTATGCCTTCAGTGGATTCATTGTAAAATTCTAGTCAATTTAGGCTTTTGAATCACTCAATTTGACCTTATAATGAATGAGATATGTTGGTTTTAATATTTGCAAATAGTGCAGATTTTTAAATACGTCGTCAGTGACAATTTCGTAATTAATCTGAAATGACCAAAAAATCCTCATACGATGTCCAAATTCAACGATTCTTTTTGCTACAGGTCCGTAATTACAATACGGATCTAATGTTTCTATCAAAAAAGAAATTGGAGCTCATTTGTTCAATATGATATCATTTATGCTTGAAGAAACGGCGTCGAAACATAAGAAAAACGAGCGCAACACAACTCAAACCTATCCGAAACTCACCCGAGGCCCTCGGGACATCAACCAAATCAACTTTGAATTCAAGCGTAAAAACTTCTAAACTTCCAACTTTCGCCAATTCAAGCCTAATTCTACCACGGTCCTCCAAATTACATTCCGGACACACTCCTAAGTCTAAAATCACCCAACGAAGCTAATCGACTCATAAAAATCCAAATCCAAATTCGTTTACTCATAAGTCAACTTCCGGTTGACTTTTCTAACTTAGTTTTCTAATTAAGAGACTAAGTGTTCATTTCACTCCAAAACTACTCCGAACCCAAACCTACCAACTCGATACAACTCAACACAGTTGAACAATACATAAATAAGCATAGATGGGGGAAATGAGGCTATAACTCTCAGAACGAACGACCGGGTCGTTACAGCGGGGTCCAGGAAAAGGCCGGACCACCACAAGGGTTGCCAAGGCTCCCATTCACGGTAATTAATGAGGTATAAGAACGTATAAGGGTGATATAAAAATTTAATACTACCTTAATACTTTGTTTGGTTAGCAAACCAGGTATAAGTTATCCCGGTGTTAATTTTAACACCGGATAACTTATACCTTATAGAGGGTGGGGTAATTAGCAACGGTATAACTTATATCTTCTTCTTATAAATTATACAATAGTCATTTTTAATACAACATACCAAACAGTAAATAAACAACAATCTCAGCATAACTAATCCCAGCATAACTTATCCCAACATAACTCATACCGGCATAACTTATACCAGCATAACTTATACCGGCATCAACCCTATTCCAACCAAACGACCCCTCAGGCTAAATGGTGTAATTAAGGACCTCTACAAAATGGTGTATAATTATGTTTTTTCCCCTTCATTTATCCCATTCCTTAATTTAACGCAAAATTACAAGCCTTAGAATTTAGATTGAATTTGTCCTCTTCTTGTGCAGCGGAGGCATATTCTTGTAGCTTAGTTTGCATAATTCAAACTGATAGATTCAAATCAAAAAAACAAGTTCGGCAATCCAAAAGGCCTTACAAGAATGTCAACAACCAAACTTGCTAGGAAGAAGGAAAATAATCTACTAAACGTTTAAGAAAACTAGCTAAAAGGGAAAATACACATATACTAATTATATTATTTAGGGACTATCTTGAGAAATATGTAGTTTTTCTTTATACTCCTTGGTTGTGCCTTCTACAGCGCAACAGTTGAATTTTTTTCGTAAACGTCTCACAGTACTCTTGGAAGCTGCAAGCATAAAAAAAAAAGGAAATACTTGAAATAATTAATTAAGGAACAATTAATCAAGACAATTAGTGCATGCATGCTGGCATGGGCGGCTTTCCAGCCGTGCCCCATGACCCCTTGGGCGCGCCCCGTGGCATCCTAGCAAGCCTTCCAATGCTTAGCACCACGGACGGCCCCCTGGTCTTGGTCGCGCCAAGTGACAAGCGCGCATGTGCCTCTATCGCCCCACCGATATCCCTCGCCAGCGCTCAACCGCAGGCGGATGCCAACAGCGCCGCGCGCGCAGACAACGCTGCGCGTGCAGACCCTGATGCCAAAGACTATGCTGCTGACAACGGGCCTATTTCTACCTTATAGAAAACTAAGTCTTTTTCATTGTAAATATAGAGTAGTTTTATTCCATGTACTTCCATTATGTTTCTCTAGCTTAATCAAGTCTAGTCTTGTAGCTTTGGTTTATTTTTTTTAAGTATTATTAGGGGGATCAAGTAATCAAACTTTCTAGCAAGCAAACAATTCTCTGTACTGGTGTCTCTCCCCCTCGACACCGCGTTGCCTTTCTGTAATAGCTTTCATTAATGCAATCAAGCTTTCTTTCATTCTCAATTTTCATTCATGTTCTCTCAATTGCTCTTGACATTGGTTTTCCTGTACGGCACTGACAATCTAGTCTAGCGTACGGAGGGGACCTCAGTTGGCGGACAGCAACTGCACTGACATCAGTTGCTTAGCCTTACGTCGCCCTTCCAAGGAATCTCAGGAAGGTGCCGCATAACAATGCATATGGCTTTAATTTGCATGAGAGTACCTTTTAAGATTTTCGCCACCCTTTCATCTCTTGCATTCATTGTTGGAATAAGTCTGGCTAAAGTTTCATCAAGCAATTTGAATGAATCTGCATCAATTATATCTAGCTTTACCCCTTGATTATTGCGACTACTTGTCGTAATTCCTCCTAAACGAAGCAGATTTGTATTAGAGTTAGTACCTATGTTACTCGGACTTTTCAATTATATTGTTGGGTGTGTGTCGGATCCTTCAAACTTAATATATTTTTAGAGGTTCCGACACGGATACTGCAATACTTTTGGAGAGTCCGAGCAACATAGGTTAGTACTACTGGCCCCAGAAACTTCAACTTGTTTGCCTTTCTTTCTTGATCTCTCCGCCAAATATTGGTCTTCATGTAAACCATCTTGTGCTGCCAATGACCATCCAATTCCCTGATTTAAATTTGAATGGTATTAGAATTGTCTAACAGATGAATACATTTTATATATGACTACTGAAGAAGGAACGGGATAATAATGTTTATAATGCTGCATGTACTGCATAATGCAAGGAGATACATACCACCACGAAACTTGGTACATTGAAGCTGATTGAAGTTGCCAATCCAACTTTCTGTCCCCCACAAAAAAAAATGGCAAGTAGTAAGTAATAAAAAATGGTTTGTTATATGAAGATTTATATAAGGATATATGGTTGGTTATGAAGTTTTAGTCTATGAAGAATAAATACCTCGGGCTCGTTTGATAGGCGGGATAAAGTGGGATAATATGGGATAAAGTATGGTATTAAATTTATAATATGTTTGGTTGATGGTAGAAATTTATTCCGGGATAAAATTATACCAACAACCAAATATGGTATAAACTTAGTCCCATACTTAATCCTGGATATCCCATCTTATCCCACCTTATCCCATCAAACTTGATATTATTTTATCCCACCTCCCATGTTGGATAAATTAATCTAGAGATTATAATCCCAGGATAATTTAGTCCACATACCAAACGACCCCTTCAGATTTATATATAGTGACCGTTAGGTGGGTTACATCACACCCCTTAGGGTGCAGTCCTTCTTCGGACCCTGCCGGAATATGCCTTATACGGCTGCCTTTTTTTATATATATATAAAAATAAAAAAGGGGAAGCCCGGTGCACTAAACTCCCGCTATGCACGGAGTCCGGAAAAGGGCCGGACCACAGGAATCTACTGTACGCAGCCTTACCCTACATTTTTGCAATAGGCTGTTTCCGCGGCTCGAACCCGTGACCGCCTAGTCACATGGCAACAACTTTAGCAGTTACGCCAAGGCTCCCCTTCAATAATTAGTACTCCATTTAGTAATACACATCACCTGAAGTTCCCTTTGGATTTCTAGAACCTAATGAGCGGGAAAGGTAGGGTCATTTTTTGTTAGTAAACTGTATTTGTAAAATAATTCTGGAAATATAAATGAACATAAACAAAAATGAAAAATAGAAACAGAATTTTAATCTGAGCCCACAGAATTCACAGTGTTTCCTTAAGGAATTTAATCCTCTCCTAGTACCCAAGGTTATGGATTATTTCCTCCCAGGATAGAACGAATTACACATTGGTGTAGTGGTACTTCAAACCCCAGTATTTCAGCGAACACAAAGTTTGGTAGCAAATCACACTTACTGTTCCATTGTTTGATGTTAAAAGTATGCAGAAGAAGGAGGAGAAACTCAGAAAATTCGTATGGAAATTCTGAGCAGAATAGACTTGTATTTATAGCCAAAATTGGGCTGAAATCTGAAGAGGTGCAACTCTTCGGAATGGTTGTTTATGCAAACGGCCATATCATAAATGCCATAACATAAATGGCTATTTACTCAACAATAAAGAGGGAAAATTGAAAAGGGTAGTTTAATTTTCAGTTACACAACTAAAAAACGGATTGAAAAATTTAATATTAATATTCTGTTATTAAAACAAATATTTAATAACATTTCTTTTAATATTTTACTATTAATAAACAAATTTGGTCCAAAAAATTAATCAATCAATCGATCATTTGACCAAATTTGAATCTGAAGCTGAAGCCGAGCCGAGCGAGCGACGACGACGACGGTGCGAGGCTTGCCTTCTTCTCAACTCTTTAAGAGCTAGAAGAAGAGCAATTGCTTATATACCCATAAAAAACCTCTTCCTCTTCCAATATAAGACAATGCCCCTTTGCCAAGGAGGGAAACTTAAAATTTCACTCAAAAATTTCATTTTCCTTCATTTCCATTCATCATCTTTTAAGTATTTAATATACTTAAATATATAAAACCCCAACAATCTGTCACGACCCTAACCCGGACCCGGTCGTGATGGCTCCTCTCGTGAAGACAAGGTTAGCCGACACTTCTCATTTTCCAATTTTTAATAGTTAAGCATTAAGAATACAGTCTAAACATGAATAAATAAACCAAAGTTTAAGCGGTTAATAGCATAAATCGTGGAAAATACCCAACACAACCCGATACCGGGGTGTCACTAGTCATGAGCATCTATGAGTCATAATACAAGTCTGCTAAGTCTATAAGCTATTACAAATGTCAGAAAAGAAATAGAAATGATAAAGGAGGAGAAACACGGGACTACGGACGTCAAGCAGCTACCTCGTGGACTCTGATATCTGTCGGGAGCTCTTAACTCGCACTAGCAGGATCCACAATGCCTGAATCTGCACACAGGAGTGCAGGGAGTAAAGTGAGTACTCCAACTCTGTGAGTAACAAATGTAAATAAAGACTGAAAGCAAGAAATCATGTGAGGCACAAAGCATTATATAATGAAGTAGTAAAATAATTAAAACTGTAAACTAGTGAAAGATAGGTAAAATTCTTTAACTCAAACGTAGTTTCATGGAAAGACTTTTTCAATAATTAAGCAAGTAATTGGCAGTAAATTATGAAAAGTAAATACATAAAGGCTCGCCCCTCGGGCATAGTATCAACAAATCCTCCCCTCGAACAACAAATCAGAACAGTACCAGCCCCTTGGGCAATCACATAGAACAATACTAGCCCCTCGGGCTCAATCTCACATCACAATAGGTACCCGCGCTCACTGGGGTGTACAGACTCCTGAAGGGGCCCATTACGGCCCAAGCGCAATATCAAACCACCTCGTGACATCATCACTAGGCCCTCGGCCTCATATTAATCTAGCCACCTCGTGGCGTACATATCTCAGGCCCTCGGCCTTATAATCAGTATCAAATGTTTCCTCACAATATAGGCCATCGGCCTTACTCAGTCAAAAATACTCACAAGCCACTCGGGCAGTAGTAAAACATGTTTATCAGCCCAAAATTATCATTTAAAAGATCATTTAAGTGTTAAAACAAAGTAAACATGGCTGAGTACGAAAACAGTTAAATATAACATGATTGAGTTCAAGTATAAAGTCAAAACAATGAGGAAACCAGTAAAAAATTTCCGAAGGGTTCAAATAGTTGGCACAAGGCCCAAATATGGCATTCAGCCCAAATAATAATGATAATAAATAGATTTCAGTCAAATATGCTCTAAAATCATCAGTCGGGACGGACCAAGTGACAATCCCCAATAGTGCACGACCTCACGCTCGTCATCAAGCGTGTGCCTCACCTCAATATAGCACTACGATGTGCAATCCAGGGGTTTCAAACCCTCAAAACATCATTTACAATCATTACTCACCTGGAACCGATCAAATCTCTAGCTCGCGGTGCCTTTGCCCCTCGAATCGGCCTCCACTCGCGTCGAATCTATCCAAAATCAGGACGAGGATATCAAAATATGCTAAGGGAACGAAGCCCAAGCGAAAATAATCAAAATATGACACAAATCCCGAAATTACCAAAATCTGACCCCCGGGCCCAAGTCTCATAATTCGAAAATTTTTACATCAATAGATTTCTTATCTCCCCACGAGTTCATACAAGTTCAGAAATCCGACCCCAAATGGTCTTTCAAATCCTCAATTAAAGGTCTAAATTTCCAATCCCTAGTTTTTCATTTTTTGGCTTAATTTCCATGATTCTTTAGGTGGAATTCACATTAGATACGAGTTTTAAGTCCAAGAATCTTACCTCCAAGTGATTCCCCTTGAAACCCTCTTCAATCCCCTTCAAAAAAGCTCCAAAAACCACCAACAATGGAAGAAAATAACCCCACATTCGCGGATAAGACTACCTTTCAAACCTTCTGCCCAGGCATATTTTCCTTCATTGCGATCGCCGGAAATCCTTTGCAATCGTGTAGCACAAATTCTCAGCTCCCAAAAACTACTCTATGCAAACGCATAAAACACCCTGCGAACGCGATGCCTAGGCAACTAACTCTACGTGATCGCGGACCGCCTACCGTGTTCGCAATGAACAAATCCAAGACAAGACCCCAGGTCCACTTAACTCTATGCGAACGCGACCTTTACTATGCGTTCGCGATCAACAACTTCACCACTCTATGCAATCACAACTCAACCTTCGCGAACGTGAAGAATAAATGGACTGCCCCCTCAAAAACTTCTATGCGATCGCAGGAACCCCTACGCGATCGCAGAGAAGGAATCTCTGCAACAGTTGAACCTGCAGTTCTGCAACTTTCCCAAGGCATGAAATGGTCCGATTGACCATACGAAACTCACCTGAGGCCCTCGGGACCTCAAACAAAGGCACCAACATATCCTAAAACCTTATTCAAACTTGTTCCAACCTTCTAAACACTCAAAACAACATCAAAACATCGAATGGTATCGGATTCAAGCCTAAGAATTTCAAAATCTTCAAAATTACGCTTTTGATCAAAACCCCAACCAAACCACGTCCAAATGACCTGAAATTTTGCACACATGTCCCAAATGACACAATTGAATTGCTACAACTCTCGGAATTCCATTCTGACCCCCATATCAAAATCTCGCCTATCAACCGAAAATCGCCAAAATATCAACTTCGCCAATTCAAGCCTAAATCTACTCCGAACCTCTAAAACTCATTCTGATCACACTCTTAAGTCACAAATCACCTCCTGAATCTAACTAAACCATCATAATTCACTTCCGAGTCCTCTAACACATAAGTCAACATCTGGTTGACTTTTCCAACTTAAACTCGCTCTAAAGAGACTAAATGTCTCAAACCTTACCAAATCTTTTCCGAGCTCGATCTGACCAACCTGATACCCCATAATATGGATAAACAAAGTATAACGAAGCAAAAATAGGGAAAACGGAGTGGTAACTCATGGGACGACTGGCGGGGTCGTCACACAATCCCCCACATGAATGGGGAATGGCTATATCACGAAAACATGCATGAAATATTATGTGATTCGCAAGCAAGGATTAATTGCATCTGGATAAGTAGGTTTCCCTTTGAACTTTTCGTAGTAAACTTATGTCGGATATACTCGATCAATCGGTAGATTTGATATCTTTGAACCGCCGAAATTTGGTGTATACCTAGACAACCACAAGTCACACAACCAACCCTTAACAGTCTTTGGTTCTCATTATTGTGTTCGTTTCAGCCATGAACACCGCCTGGTTTCATAAGTGCATAGAGAACTGGCCTTGCAAGATTCTCCTTGAAGCGGCTAACACTTCAAACTTACA